TTGGCGGCGGGCTGCGCGGGCGCGGAGGGCTCGGCGTGGGAACACGAGGCGGGGGGTTCCCGACCGGAGTCCGAGGAGGGGGACACCAGGGAGGGCGTGGAGGACTCGTAGCCAGAGCTGGGAGGAGGGGATTTGCAGTGCACTTTCATGTGTTTTCGCAGGGAGCTGGGGTGGGTGTAGGACTTGTCACAGCCTCTCACTTTGCAGTTGTACGGCTTGTCGCTGGTGTGGACGTGTGAGTGCTTCTTCCTGTCACTGCTGTTGGCGAAGCGTCTGTCACAGCCCTCGAATTCACATTTGAACGGCTTCTCCCCTGGAGGAGGCAATGGGCGAGCACGGGCATTAGTAAGGCGATGGCGAGGTGGGGACAGGGGGCACTGAGCCCTAGACCCCCGGGGGCCGCGGCCTCCATCGAGGCACCGGGAGCGGCTCTCTCGGGGCAGCCCCGCGGGCTCCGCTGCCCCTCGGCCTCTCCAGCCCCCTCCTTGGCTGCCCGCACACGCCGAGTCCGCCCCTCTTCCCTTCCCTTCCCTTCCCTTCCCTTCACTTCCCTCTCTTCCCTTCCCTTCCCTTCCCTTCCCTTCCCTTCCCTTCCCGGCTCTGCCTTGCGTGGCCAAAGCGGGTTTTGTGCAAGAGACAAAGCCCTCAGATAAGGAAAATTTAGAGGCCAAGTGCTCGCTCGGCATGAACAAAGTGCGCACTCTGCGCAGCCTGCCGGGTCCTGTGGAAAGAGCGGTCAGTGGTTTATCCCGGGGAATATTTCTGCGTTAAATACACTTCTCGCACTGCCCCGAGCTGCACACGGACATGTTATTCACAACCCGGGTAAATCACATCTCATCCGCTCTAGTCTTGACTTGATTACAATCCCGTGGAAGGTCTGCACGACTCTCCCTCTCTACTTCGCTCCATACTAAAGCACAAAACCTTTCAAAAAGGCAGTGATTGTGGGGTGAAAAATCATAGGCATTCAGCAGCAAGGAGACTAGGCCTGTGCCTGGTTGTGTCGAGAGGGTAAGAGCCTTTTATCATTTGAACCTACTCAGTCATGGAAGGAATTGCAATCGGGATTAATCTGTCTGGTAATATGATAAGTGACGTTAAGCATAATAGAAATATAATCGTGTTGTTGGAGTCGTGTGAAAGTTTAACCTCGGATTCTGTGCACTGGGCCAGGCACACGAAATATAGGAGAGGGTTTCAGGGAAACATGCCTCAGATATTGCGGGGCAAAACACTGGCTGAATTATTGCCACTGCTAAGGGCTAACTGCAAAAACCTCCTCGAGAAGGAGCAGCGAGGGCCCACAGCAACCAAATGGGAAAATAGCTTTTTTTTTTTTCCTGAAAAAAAAATGTAGCAGAAGTTACCACGAAAACACAGCTGAGCGTTAACCACGAAGTGCAAACAAAGCCACTGCGTTCACCATCATGGCGTACATGGCTGAAAGAACCTGGAATATTTGCAAAAGCTTCGGAGTTTTGTTTTGGATTTTGTTGTTGTTTGGCGGGGAGGGGGGTGTCCCCTCAGTTCGTCACGGCTAAATTTCTGAGGGAAGCAGCCCACCTCGTGCTCGGCTGAGAGCCCAGCGAAATAAAGGAAGGCATCCCAAATATTTCACATGAATGCACTTTATGCAAGGTGGGTGGGAGAAAGCTTGTGGTTCCGCGTTTCAGCTCTGTCCTTTCCACTGTAATAATCGCCCACGGTGCCTCACATCTTTGTTACCATTTGCAGAGAGGTTTGGTAAAGACCGGTGTTAGAGGGAAGGTGGGAAGAGATTAAAAATAAGGTCTCTCGGAAAACGATGCAGGTCCTGTAACCAAACATTCTCGGTCACAACAGTGCGTATGCACAGACACACGCACGCATATAATCTAATTACAGTTTCACGTAAGGAAACAATTTGACCTTCAGCATCTAAGTTGAGACAACAAATCAGGGATATTAGTGTTGTACAAGAGAGCGGGAAGTTAGGAGACCCCAGGGAAGGGCGTCCTCATAAGCACTCGGGTTGTGCAAAGTGAGCTGCAGTCAGGTAAACCCGGACTGCGGCGCCTTCACATTTCTGAAGAGTTGGGAAAAAAAATATGTTTAACTCCGCTTAACCCCGTGAAGGAGTCAGATCCGCGTTGGGAAGAGGGCAGCGCGTTCCCGAGCTGTATCCTCGGGACGCCTCTCTAGAGAGGAGCCATCCGCGGCGCCTACAAGGATCCTATTCGAGAGCAGGTTTTCCTGCGAGGGAATTGCGATCCGCCCGGGAGAGGACATTTAACGGGTCCTTCCCTTCGCAGCCTGAGCACGGAGGTGCTCTTGATCCGCCCAAAGTTCAAGCAGGCGATGGAGAAGCACAGCGACTCAAGC